CTTTCGACTTCGAGGCAGCTGTCTTTATCCTGATGGCTGAAAATCGAAACAATTAAAGCAAAGGTTAAAGATATGGAAAATAAAAGACGTTTGGGATTTTCCCAAGCATTCGCACCTGTGCCTTGATCAGATTTAATTGACATGGCAGAAAGGTCGTATCGAAGGTGTCCTGGGAAATCATGAAGCCAGTGTCGAGCCCATGTCACAGTCTCAGATGGCTTTGGTTTCCTTTGAAGATGTTTGAACATCTCTTTGCAAGTGAACCACCAAGAATATGGGGGAAACCAAGCCAGAGCCAGTTCTGAGGTAGGTAATCTGGGAAATTTAGGTGGATGCATTTCGAATGCCAACCTATACATATCCTCAGGTGACAACCCTGAAGGAAGTTTTAACTTAGAAACTTTTTGTTTAAATTTTTCCTTCAAGGTCTCAGCCGCTTGATGCACAGTGGAGTCCAAGCGCGTGGGGTCATAAGTAGTTTCAAAATAATTTTGGAAAGCTTTAATCTCTTTGGCATGAGTAAACATACCTTTCTTTGCTGGTACCTGCACATCGAAGGCATCAATTAGTTTCTGTTGAATTGTAAGTGTATCGAACATATAAGTTTGATAAAACTTGGTCCACCATTCCAGAAACCCTTTAGCTGTGAGATGGGTAGGTTCGAAGGTTATCAGCTCAAACTGGGCAAAGCCTTGATATTGTTCTTGCTGTATTTTGGCTTCCCGTGCCTTAAAAGTTCGCCCAGAAGTAATGGCGCTCTCAGTGTGGAATAAAGGTTCAGGAATGAGTTGACATAAGCCAAACTGTCTCGAAACAAAATTTGGCTGGTAAGCAAAAAGAAAAATCTGGTTCTTGGCTGGAGTTATTCTTGAAGAAATGAGTCTAGGTAGCAAAAAAGCTCTCCATACATCCTGAATCTCCTTGCTCTTGATAGCTTCTGAGAGAGCCATGGTGAACCAAGAAGGTCCATGAGCCCTCGAAGCAAAAGGCGCCATGCTCTCTTCGAACTTGTGCCTTTTGGAGAATATCATGATGTACTTCGAGAATTGGACTTTGAAGTCATCTTTGTCGTCATTTGGAGTTAATCTTCGAAGCCTAGTGCCTTCGACTATCCTATCATTTATCTCAGGATCTTGTTCATCAATGGTGTTGGCGGTTGACAATGAGGGTTCGAACATGGCATTTAGCCATAGTTGAAGTAACCAAAAAGGGCAAGCCAACAGAATATTCTTGGAGGTATGGGATTTGAGGCTCGAAATAGCTGACCTCAGGCTTTCATAAAGGTCAACTAAGAGCAGTTCACTTAGGCACACTTTTCGATTTTCATGCAAGTCCCTAGCTAGAGGAATGAACCTACTAGCTACTTGTAGGGATCTACTGCAGAAAACGTATCTTGACAGCCACAGGGTTAAGAAAGCAATGTGTTCTACGTCAGACACATTGTCCCCCTCAGCATGGTAATGACTGATAAACTTGGAAAAACTTGCTAGCTTGACTTCAAAGTCAATTATGCTTGAATGTTCTTCGTTGTCGGGGATATAAGTTTCTCCTACTGGCGATAGCCCAGTGATGGCCGTTATGTCGAAGAAGGTTGGGGTGATCATTCCACCTGGGAGATGGAAAGTGTTATAGGTACTGTCCCAGAAATAGAGGGACGCGAATAGCAGAGGGTGGCTGTAGGTGAAACCAGGCTTCGATAGCTTAATCAGGTTATAGATACCTAATTCTTCCTATTGATGGGATTTCTTAGCTTCTACTTTCTTGAACCAATTTTGATAAGCAATATCAGAGGTGGGGCAAGATCAAAATGGCTTAAAATTACTTTTTACATAATCCAGTACAAAGGGGGTCCTTAGGAGGAACAGTTGGGTTTTCTATGGTATTTGAACTAGAAGATTCTACTGCCTTAGGGGCGTCCATTTTGTTAAACAAGGGTTTAAAACTATAACAAATTGGGAAAATCGTCCTGGTATCTTTTAATATTTCAAAAACTGTAAGAGGGCCATTTAAAGCTAACCTCTTACCAGCAACGTTGGTAGGAATGAGTACCTGTGACGCATACAGCATTTCTTTTTCCTTTGAAATCATCTGAGGGGCAAGAACGGATTGACCTTGGTGAGTGATAATCTTACTTTCCATGGTAGTTCCTGCAGTTTTTCCTTTCTTCTTGGAGACTTTCTTGAGTTGGGATGAAGTAGAAGAAGACATTTTTTGAAGGATGTTGAAAGCTTGGGTTTTTGACGAGAGAAGGAGGGTAAAAGATTCAGAGTATGAAAAGAAAAGAAAAAGATTAAGTTGGTGATGTTTTATAATAGGGAAGTTTAAGCATCCACTGAATAAGGGTGTGATACGTGGAAATCATGGGTTGGTGTGATGAAGAGGTGGCGTAAAGTTAACATGGGTAATAGGCGTGATTTAAAGATAATCATTATTTGTAACTGCACCATACTGTGAAGTGGCTCCAGGCGGTTAAGGAATCCAAAAAGCGCTATGATTGACGTGACTGGAGTCAAATGCATTAAATGTTACGATGATTCGAAAGTCACATCAAAATCTTGTGTAGATGTTTAAAATAGGTATTTCTCAGAGAAATCGAAATACATATTTTAAAGGGGCAATTTATTGGCTGAAGATTTTGATAATATTATTAGAAGCCAAATGAATTAAACGTTTCGATCGAAATGAAGTAAAGCGTCATGTTTCGAAGTAGCAGAAGCAGTGTTTCGAATAAGCATGTCAAAGCTTGGAGCTTCGAGTGGCAATTATGGGAACATATCTAAAGAAGTCTCGAAATAACAACAAGGTTGTGTCTGGGAAGTGCGTTCGAAACGGAGAAATACCAAAGCATTTGAAATTCAAATGGAAGCGGGACATTCGAAGTTTGAAATTTATGTGCTGGAGCATTTGGAGACACGTGGAAAGAAGAAAGAGGCATTGTTCTGCATGTTCTGAACGTGGCATAATCCTATAGCAAGACCTTTATGGTCGAATTAGTATAAATAGAAGTCTTAGTATTAGGATTTCGTGTGTCATATCTATTGTACTAAATCCTCAGTAACATTCAAACTACCACATGGCAAGGGAAACGAATGCAAGAGCAATGTACGTATGATAGCACCATATGTATTTATGATTTAATGAAAACCTTTTACCATTTCCAGCACTTTCCTTTATCTTTTTATCAAATAACATTTACAAGTTTTCTCATTTACAGTCTTTTCACTTCGAAATCTCTTCATTAAAGTTTTACATTTCAATGCTTTCTTCACATTTCAAGCACTTTACATTTCAGAAAACTGTCATATTTTCCATGCCTTTACCTTCAAGCTTTATCCTTAGAACGCATATTTTTACTTAAAGTCATTTACAGATTTCTTGCATTAAACGCTTTCTTCATATTTCAAACCTTTTACGTTCCAGAAATCCTTTACATTAACTGTTTTTATAATTCGAAACCATTTACTTGTCTTTTATGCAATTTTACATGTCTTTACAATTAACATTTATTCATGCAACTTAGTTTCGTACACGCACATTTTGATCACATCTTTAGACCTTTAAGAGAGAAATCGAAATAAGCCAAAACACCTATACAACACTCAAATATCAACCATGAATATCTGTTCGATCATGAGAGTTACCCTAATGACCAAGGAATCCTAGGATCAATCTAGTCGATCCTGTGAGTTACTAGAGGAATTGAATAACAGTCAGAAAGATTATTAAATAGTTTGGAAGACTAGCGGTTGTTTACCAGAAATCACTGGAAACAATGTTGTAGAAGAGTTGCTTATGGAAGCCATAATTTTTGTTGTTTTTGCTGCAACTGCAAGGATCTGCAGCTTTGATACCACACTGTTGGTGGTATTCTAAAGGAGATATGTGATAAATTATATTATTGCAGAATTTAGAGTAAGAAAATATTTGTGTGTCACATTTTGCACTAAACTTTCATTGGTGGAGGTTAGGCTTTGAAATACCTCGATTTTATTGAATTCACAACACTCACTTTTTTTCTCTACAATTTAGCATTACAAAACCTTTATATAGCCTTGAAAGTAATCGACAGAAAAGACAATGAGTTGGTAATCAAAATGAGAACTTTTTAATTCTCTCGATCTTAATGATACAACTCTACCATAAATCTAAATCAAGACAATAATTATAATGTAATAATTACACTTCTCTCATAATACTTATTAAAGATAGTGACGGTTACAACACATTAATTTTAATAACTTCGTAACCTTAAAAATAAGTAACAAAAAAGAAGGAAAAAAAGTACAGCTATGAGGTAAAGATGAAAAAAATGTAACTCATTAATGAAAATGGTAACATTATCTCTGCAGACTCCAAAACCTTTTGGAAAAAAAAAAAGAAAAATTAAAATCATGAGAATCGAATGTTCATGCAATAACAAGTAAAGCTAATTTGAGAATCTTCTACTAAATCTCATTCTGTCAACTACTATAATTTTATTCCTGATAATTTTACCTAAAACTTTCAAGTTGTTTTTAATGCAATTTTTGTGATCACCCAAAGACATTTGCTTCTCTCCATATAAACACAACCGATCAGTAGAGTATTTCAGAATATTTTATTTTAAAGTATACAATTTGTCTATAAAATTGAAAATGAAAGAAAGAACTTAATATAAGTTGCAGTAATTTACTTGGAGAACTGTGACCTTTCAAATATTGGTAAAATTACTTCAACAAAAAAGGATGTATGATATTTTCAAATGCAGCCGTTGGTTTGTTGTTAGTGCAAATTAGTATGGCTTTCAGAGTTATGCAAACAACATATTTTGTAAAAACAACATGGTATTTGGCACTTGGAATAAATTATTTTATTACTATTTAAACATGATTAAACAAACATAAAATATTAATTGTAAAGAAACATACAATATAAAAATATCCTCACTCCAAACTCTTGTTCCAACATGCATTTGTAGTAGCAAAGCCACTAAGAAATTCACAAAACAGAAGTAAGAAAGAATGGTAGAGGATAGAAAAGTTGGGGTGGGAATAGATTTTTCTAAAAACAGCAAAAATGCTTTGAAATGGGCCATTGTAAATATGGCAGATAAAGGTGATACTTTTTATCTCATTCACATCAACTCCAATTCTTCTGATGAGTCTCGTAGTAAGCTGTTTGCAAAAACTGGTTCACGTGAGTTCTATATATTTTAAATCCATTTGGGTTCTTATAATTTATCATATTCTATGTTTTTGTATGATCATCATACTGTAGATTGGAATATACATTTTGTTTTCTTCATTTTGTAGCACTTATTCCATTGGAAGAGTTGAAAGAGGCTGGAGTTATGAAACAATATGGTGTGCAAACTGATGTTGAGGTTATTGATCTGCTTGAGATTGCTGCCACACAGAAAGAGGTGTTTTAAACTATGTAAAAAACTCATAATATTGTGATTTAGATCAGAGTTCCATATCTTGGTTTCAAAATCTTGTTAGAGTCTCTCTAGATCACAAATTTTATACTTGTGAAATTGTACTTTTGTAGGTGAGCGTTGTTGCAAAATTGTATTGGGGTGATGCAAGGCAGAAACTTATGGACTCTATTGAAGATCTAAAGCTAGATGCTCTTGTTTTGGGGAGCAGAGGCCTTAGCACAATCAAAAGGTTCATACAAATTTATGGCCTCGTATTTTAAATTTTTGTTAGTTTTGACGTTACTAGAGCTTTCTTTTTTGGTTCAAATGTTAATAGTGATAAAAACTAGTATTTTCCTGTGTATTTATTGTGATTTTTGTTTCTTGGACTTATTTTTTTCATGGTAAAAAAATATAGGATATTGCTGGGAAGTGTAAGCAACTTTGTGATGGTTCATTCCCCATGCCCAGTGACTATTGTGAAGGATTATTCAAGCAGCAGCAGCGACTAGCTTGTCCTGTTGGTATCTTTTTCTTGCAATGTACTTGGGCTAACAATGGAGTTATTCATCCAAATATCTGCCGTTAGCTTCTCCAAATAATAATAATAAATATAATTGGAGAGCTTTATTAATTTGGCCATGTAAATTAACTATAGTAAACTCCTTGCTTATTATAATTTTTATATATTTCTCTGAGTAAATTTATAATGTTAATACTTCCTCCTTTTTTTTTAATTATAAGTTACTTTAAAAGAGTAAAGAGTGTATTAAAACATATGTTGTTGGATTAACTAAATACTTGGGCTTGAGTGGTAAATGAGTTCAAGAAGGTTTGCGGACTACTCAATTTGATTGGTGGAAACTATTATTAATGATTTTTTATGCTCTTGGGTATTTATTATTCTTTTTTAATTATTTAAATATATTTTTTAAAAATTATAAATAAATAATAAATAATTTATAGGTTATGGGTTCAAATCCTACCATACCAATTTTCAATTTTATTATTTTGGATGCCGCTCTATTTATAACAACAGTTGAATTAAAATTTGTTGTGATAGTATTTATGTTTTTTTAATATATTTTTCAATTTTAGAGATCCCAATTTTTTAACCTGAATTTTTTTTAATCGTATCATACCAGAAACAACAATACACCCATTGTGAATTGAAATAAATAAAAAACTGTATTACATCAATGACACAATTCCATTAGGAATTAAACATTGTATATTACATCAAAATTAAAATTGAGACAAAACAATTTACAATGTACACATCATTACATCAAATAATATTATCTTATTCTCCTGGTGTCTTGTCTCTTGGTGTCTTCACTTTAAACACCTATAATTTTAAATAATAATAGTTGTTAGAAATTAAATAACATGATTGGAAATTATAACAATAAATTATGTATGAAGAATATAAAATACTTGTTAATTTTTCCATATATGTCTTCTTGAAGATCGTTATGAATAACATGCACATCATCTCTATCAACATCTTCATATGAACTAGGCACTTGTGTTACGTAAGAAGGAGTGGAAGGAATATCAAAATATTCATCATCACTATGAGGAATGTGTTTTTCTTTGAGAATAATTGATCATTTCTTCGATAAGTTCGTAGGTTATGTCACATAAAAAACTCATTTCGCTTGAGTATCCATGATGAATGATTCGGTCTTATAAGTTGCTTTACCAATGCCAACCTGTGTGAATCCTAACTCATTTGTTTGTACACAACTATTATTGGAAACCCATTTGCATTTAAATAAAGGCACTTTGAAAGTAACATAATAAATCTCAAAAATCTCCTCAATAATACCATAGAACGCGATGATTGCTAAAATATAATTCTTATCTTTTGTACTACAGAAATACATGGATTCGGCCTCAACCATAACCTCCCTATTTTGCATTTACTACAATCATATTTTGCTTTTGTATAAAGGAATAATTAGAAATATTGTATGGCGTCCAAGTTATCTCAGTAAATTTTGGCATGTACGACAACCATTTAATTATCTCGAATGCACCACTAGCACTTAAAATCCTCTTATTAAACTAACTTAGAAATTTTTTGTTATGTTTTGTCAACAACCACTTGTCATGCATTCAGGGATATTTTTTCTTTATAAATGTTTTGTGTTCTTCTATATAAGTTTCAACTACACTAAGATTATTCAATATATATATATATATATATATATATATATATATATATATATATATATATATATATATATATATATATATATATATATATATATATATATATATATATATATATATATATATATATATATATGCTTCAAGAACTATATCCTAACTCATTGACTTAATATTTAAACCTTGTGTGCATGTACCTATAAATCTGTCAGTATGACAAGACTATGGAATTCCAATAAACTCTCTTTCCAACAAATAGTTTGAACAAAACTCAGCATCTTCTTATGTAATATATATTTCAACGATCGAAGCCTCCGGTCAGTGATGATTCTTCGTATATCCTTTAAATATCTTCATGTATCACTCTATAAGATACATCCACCTTAAATAAAATGGACTAAAAAACTCGATTTCTCTAACTAGATGAACAAGTAAGTGAACCATAATGTCATAGAAGATAGAGGAAAATACATCTCCAATTGACACAATATTATTACAACCTCTTCTTCTAATTCATCTATTTTTTTAATAAAGAACTTTATTACATATATCATTGAAGAATAAGCGCAATCTGGTTATAGTTACTCTTACATTTTTGGAAAGGATTCCACTGATAGCGACTGGTAGAATTTGTAGCATCAAGACATGGTAATCATGAAATTTTAAGCCAATTAACTTGAGATCTTTCATCGATACATGTTTCTTGATGTTCAAATAGTAACCTTGGAAAACTTTCATACCATGCAAACACTCGTAAAAACTTTTCTTTTCCTTTTTAGATAAAGTGTGAGATGCCGAAGGAAAATAAGATCTTTTTCCTCTATCTTCTGGAGTCAACTGTTGTCGTATACCCATCTCGATCATATCTAAATAAAAATTCTTATTATCTTTATTCTTTCCTGGAATGTTTAGAAGTGTTACTATCAAACTGTTACACACATTTTCTCCATATGAATTACATCAAGACAATATCTTACATCGAGGTTAGACCAATATAGAAGATCATAGAACAAAGACCTCTTTTCCAAATATTTCTATCAACGGGGCCATATTTATTCTTTCTAAAGACAACATTAAGGTGTTCTTGACGTTGATAAACTTCATCAACGGTTAAAGGTTTAGGAGAAATTTCAAACTTCTGTTCTCCGTTAAAAGCCTTTCGCAATCTAGAATAAAGATGATTGGGTTTAAGAAATTTCTGATGGCTAGGGTAAACAGTCTTCTTTTCAAACTCAAGCTGGTGAAAACAAGTATTTGGTTCACATATACAACAATGTATCCATCCAAATTACTATATGCAGGAAAGTTGTTAATTGTGCAAAATAACATTGCACGCATCTTAAATTTTTCACCAGAATATGCATCATCAAAGTCAACACCTTTATCCCACAAAAGTTTTTAAATCATCAATTAATGGACTTAGATAAACATTTATGTTGCTTCCAGGTTGTTTTGGTCCATAAATCAACATGTGTAACATGATATACTCTCAACCAAGGAGATAAGTTTTAAATCGTGAGAAGCACATGCCATGAAGAATGGTTAGTACTCAGATTACCAAATGAGTTTATTCCATCTGTTGCAAGCCTAAGCCCAAGGTTTCTTGGCTCAAGGCCAAAATATTGAAACAATGAATCAATCTTATTCCATTGCAAAGAATGAGCTACATGGTGAATGTTTCCAGCAGATTTTCTTTCACATGCATGCCATCTAATCTAATCTTAGGGAATGAATTGTGTGGTTTGAAAAATCCTGGTTTTTTAAACTTTTGGCAAGTTAAATCTGAGTTTAAAAACTTTTTAAAAGACTAAGAAATGGAAAGTAAATAGAAGAAAGTCAATAGTTAAGGGAAGAATAAGAACACATAGAATTATAAAGGTTCAGTAAAAAATTTCTAAGACTTGGTCTTGAAAATTTTCAATAATACGTGAGAGTTTTTAGTAGGAAAGGATCACAAATCCTATTATACAAGGAAATGATGATTGAACTTCACCAAATATTACAAGACGAAAGATATGGGCGTTTCCGTCTTTTCTTCAATATAATATTGTTGAGAGTGAAATGGCCAATATTCTTTCCTAACAGAGAACTGAAGCGGCTAGTCTCCTTTCCACGAGCACGAACCTTGAAGAAGTTAGTCTTCAAGTTCAAAAATATTTGAGTTTAATTCCTCTCGTTTTAATAGGATAAACCAAACAACCTGCAGGATTTTGACCACGATAATCTCTAACCTATAAGGATTTTAATACAACGTTAATCTTTAAACTATATTAGTTTTAACCAGACTAACCAAGAACCAATGAAGATTTTAATAATGACTAACATTCAACCTAGGAATGATCACGCAATCCCCAACCTAATCTTCTATCAGGTTTAGCTTCGAACCATAAATAATTCTTAAGTAGACAATATTCAACCAAGGTTTATACAAAATATTCTCTTGGTGAATTTTACAATTCTATCCTTTCCAAAATTACACAAGTAGCCTCATTCAAAAAGGAACTTTTCTCACAAAAGCATTTGATTATAACATCTAGTGAGAGAAAGTTAAAATAAAACTTAGAGAGAGAGAGAGAGAGAGAGAGATGGAAGTGCCAAAACATGATTCTTAATGGTTTGAAATGTGATAAGGAGTCTATTTTTATAGACAAGAGGTGTACTCTAAAATAAATTTGCAATCAATGAATTTTTTCATTATCTAATTGATTATATTTAAATGCTAATCGATTAAGTGTTTAAAAACAATTATTATAAGTTCTCAAAATGGAAGTTTAAGATATATAGCCATTGTATATAATCAATGTGCATTTAAACTAGCTTGGACCTCAAGTTTATGCAAATATAATCGATTGGCTATTTGAGGTAATTGATTAGATATGTCAAAATTTCGCCCTTGGCTTATTTGACCGCTCCCAGTTCATCTGATGCAACTTCCATATGGTTTTAAAAGAGTTTTATTTTTATTAAATCATTTTAAAAAAGGTTTTAGTGTGTATGCTTATAGCCTTATACTTTTACCGAAAATCTCATTTGCTTACATAAGTTCACTCACTTACTAAATTAGGATTAACTCTTTTTCTACAAGCTCTTTGTCAGATACTATCTTTTATGTTGAGACTTCTTTAGATCACTTCATGATTTAGATAATTTTTACTTTGTTTACCTTCTTCGGGTAGTCACGTTCATCAAACCATATCATTTACGTTTGCATCTTTAACTGTTTAAGCATTGTGCTTGACTTGTCATTGGTTGTCCTTAGTTGTCATCATCAAAAGTTGGTGTTTTGATTTAAGGTCTATTACTTGCAAAACAAGGTTTGAAATTATCCATCATTTAA